CCCTTGCGGCGCAAGGGGAAGACTGTGGTGTAACGCGAGTAGTCGTCAACCACCAGCAGGAAGTAACGCTCATGACCCTGTCCACGGACGCGGGCGGGGCCCCACACGTCCATGTGGAGAGTCTGCAGCGGAGCCTCTGTCGGAGGAAACTCGGAGGAATGAGGAGCGGCGCGCTGCCGCCCCTCGACGCAGGGAACGCAGGTAGGGGCAGGCCCCGGAGGAAGGGGAGGGAGGAACCTGGGGAGACCAGAGACAAGGACACGGGAGGCCATGCCTCGGAGACGAGGCAGGGAGGGGTGACCAAGGCGGTGGTGCCAGAGGAGAGTCTGGTGGGACAGGAGGCGACACGAGCAGGGGGCAGACTCAGGGCCAGACCGAGACGCTGCAGCAAACACCTGACCCGACGCAGCTACCTGACCAGACGCAGTAACCGAAGGAGACTCGGTCGTCAGTGTGTACAGGCTCGACCCCGGCTGACGGGTAAACGTGGCCAAGTGTCGGCCCGTCCGAGCACACGTGCAGTGGGTCACTCGCTGACTCGCAGGAGTGAACTGGTCAACCCCTCCATCCTGCAGGTCAGCACCACTCACCAAGTTCGTAGAGAACGAGGGGAGGTAAAGACCTGACAGGGAGCCAGACGGGGCCGCCGGACACGGTAGGACAGTGGAGTAGTGAGCAAGGACAGGACCCCCAGAGGGGTCTGCCAGGGAGACTACAACCGGCCGACTAAGCGGCGTGAGGGTGGTGCGGTCTCGAAAGAAGGAGCGGGAAGCACCCGAGTCAAGGGTGAAGGTGTGCAAAACCGCAGCAGGCGCAGCACCAGAGAGAGCAGACTCACCAGCACTTGGAGCAGGAGACTCACCAGCACCTAGAGCAGCAGCCTCACCGACACCTGGAGCAGGAGACGTACGAGAACCTAGAGCAGCAGCCTCACCAGCACCTAGAGCAGCAGACTGGATACCGGGGTCAGGCGGCACACACAGGTGACAGGCTCCCTCGGCACTAGTAGACAATGCATACATTGCAGTGAGAATAGCATCATAGTCAAGAGCAAAGATATCTACCCTCTGCCTAAGCAGCTCCACCCAGTCGGGGAGCTCAGCGTCGTCACCAAACTCTGTACGCCAAGCGTCGCTCAGACGGGCGAAGCAGCGGGACTCTGTGTGACCAGGCGTCCCGCAAGGCCGACCAGTCCGGACACCCGTGCGAATAACGGACGGGCAGCGAGCAGTACTCAGCGACCCTCTACTCTAAGCGTACCACTCACGAAGCTGCTGGGGCGAACGAGTCTCGCGCGGACGACGCTGCTGCTGCACCGGGCCACTACAAGAAACTCCCGAACTACCCACTCCAGGACGACTCCCACTGCTGCCACCCCGACAACCAAAACTAGCGTACCACCCACGAAGCTGCTGGGGCGTGAGGGACACACGCGGATGGCCCTGGAGCTGCATCTGGCCACGCCAGGATCAGCAGGAGAAGCAGTAGCAGCAGGAGCAGTAGTAGCAGTAGCAGCAGCAGTAACAGCAGTAGCAGCAGTAGTAGCGGGAGCAGCGCAGGCAGGGCAGTGCTCACCAGTGGTGGGAAGGGCAGGCGCACGACGGCGGCGACTGCGGGGCCGCTACAGCGGCAGGGCGGGGGCCGCGACCGCGGCAGGAAGCTCCGCGGTAGCTGCTGCAGGACGGGGCGACGACTGCGGCTAGGGGCTCCGCGGCAGTTGCTGCAGGGCGGGGCCGGGCCGCGACGGCAGCTGGTGTAGGGCAGGGACAGGGCCGCGGCGGCCGCTGCTGCAGGGTGGGGCGGGGCCGCGACGGCAGCTGCTGCAGGGCGGGGCAGTCCGCGGCGGCAGCTGCTGCAGGGCGGGGCAGACCGCGACGGCAGCTGCTGCAGGGCGGGGAGGTCCGCGACTGCAGCTGCTCCAACACAGTGCAGGGGCGGCCGTCCAAAGGGCGGGCGCGGGGTAGGGCAGGGCGCCGCGGCGGGCAGGGGCGACGCCGCGCGGGCCCCGCAGGGGCGTCGCGACGAGCGGGGGCGACGCCCGGTCTGCGCGAAGCGAGCACAAGCGTGCGGGAAGCGAACTCGGGTGTGCGAAAAGCGAACTCAGGTGTGCGGAAAGCGAACTCAGGTGTGCGGAAAGCGAACTCAGGTGTGAGGAAAGCGAACTCAGGTGTGCGGGGAGGGGGCCGCAGGGCGACGCGCGGGTCGACGGGGATGGGCGCACGGGTCCCCGGGGGCGGCGCGCGGGTCGACGGGGCCGCTGCAAAGGGCGATGGGGAGCCGCGCGCGGGTCGACGGGGCCGCCGCGAAGGGCGGGGGGGGGGGGGCGACGCGCGGGTCCCGCAGGGGCGTCGCGACGAGGCAGGGGCGACGCCCGGGTCCCGCAGAGGCGTCGCGACGAGCAGGGCGACGCGTCGCTGGGTCCAGGGGCCGCGCCGCGGGGTCCAGGGGCGGCTGCGCGGGTGCAGGGCAGGCCCGCGCGCTGCCTGCAGGGCAGGGCGGCAGGGTGGCGCTCGAGGGCGCGGGTAGGCAGGCACGACAGTGCGATTCGGGCAGGGCAGAAAAAAAAAAGTTTGTGGTGGGCCCTAAAAAACGGTCCCCCTAGGGAACCTGCTCTGAAACCATGTGAAGAGTAGAGGACAAGGAATGAATGAACTAGAACAAGGTTGGGTACAAGTAGGAAACCCTAGGAAACTGTACCCCTTAGTGTCTACCCCACTATAGCCTAGACAAGCTATATGATAAATGTTTGACAAATGCATGTGCCAGCGTGGGTAAGAAGGTGCACTTGACGAGCAGATGGGTTGGGCTCGGCTGTTGCTCCCTCACCCCTTTCGACGCAAAGATTTGTCTCCGATGCCTGTGTGTCGAGCATCACCCGTTGTTCTTGCTCAAGGTTCTCCCCAGGTATAGGTGGACGCGCAATGCCACTTCCATTGCCCGTCGAGGCCGAAAAAGGGTCCATCTTAGACAGTGTTTTTAAGTAGAAGAAGACACTGCGAGGAGGCTTGAGCATGGAACAAGACCACGTGACAAGTGCGATGGTGCTCTACGATCAGGCCTTTGTATCAGCACTCTACATGCTTTGCAGCTTGATGCGCTGCGAGGCAATGTACATCGTCATGTCGCGGTTCGGTATGGGATTGAACACGTTGCCAGACACTCCGTCAACTGGGCGAGTCGCGAGCATGTGCTGGGATCAACGACTCGACATATGAGGCGCCTTCACGTTGAGAATCGTGGCGCATATAAAGCTCTACACAGGTGACGTCGCGAGTATCGTGCAAACTTTGTGGTGCACCAGCGGCTCGATATCGCGTGAAGCGCGACACGCTAGACACATCTGGTTGCCTGCTCGTGAGTGATAATCGCACGGACAGATGACTTTAAAGTGAATGCACCGTCGGCAGCTTAGTGGATGCCCGTCGTGCTATGGGTGGGGGCGCGCTCGACAGGGTGTGATTCGCGGAATACTATTGTCACGATGTGCACAACGGGGGAACTAGCTGCGCGACGGCGTGAGAGCTGCCCCATAACATATTCGAGAGACGTTGTCATTGCCGAGACGTTGTGAAATTTTGTGTTGTATTAGAACGGTTGATCCGGTGATACTGGAGCATAACGTTCCTGACCTCTCTTTGCAATAATGATGCGAGTTTGAAACGAAATTGGCAACTGCCGCCATGGTTTATCCTCACGCTAGATGTCGCCTAGAAGTGACAAATATGTAGCGTTGGCGATCCTACCAGATAGATGTTCGGGCTAGCTTCGATTTCGGCAGTGGGAGTGCTGGCAATCGTAAACGTTGACGCCCATCTTAAGTGTGCTGGCATCTCTGGTTGTTTCGAGCACTTGCTGGAACAGCTAAGGCGCATGAACATTTGAGCAGACATCTCGTATACTCAGACGGTGATTGCAACAATGAGACAGCTGGAAAAACTTCTCTGATGGGTTGCAACGGGCGTTGTACGATGTGGCAGCGCGCTCAGGGAGGGCAGCATGATACTGAAGTGGATTGTGCAAGGCGTGCCGACGTGTAAGCGCTACAAAGTACTTATCGTAGTGGCGCGTCGTGAACAAAATGCTCGCGACTTGATTTTCTGATGGCTGTGTTGTGATTTCGATGTGCAGGGAGTCGGTTTGCTCTCGCCTGTGACACTTGTGATTGGCCAGTCCACGACCGAACGATGCCAAGTTTTGCAATGGTAGCGAGATGAGTTCGCAAGTGTTCGCTAATACTATAACTCTTCAGGTGTCCGACGTGGACCGGCTCGCCGAACCAAACAAGCCTCCCCATTATAGTCCCACATTCGCTCAGGGAGCGGGTCCACGCTTAGGTCTGAGGTGGTTTGGTGGACTGGTCCTCATCGACCGCATAGAACCAGGGTGGAGCAAACCGGTCGCGGATGTCGCCGGTCTCGTCGCTGGCCCGCAGGCGTTGGGCTCCGAGATTGTCGATGTCTCTACCATGTTTCGGGTTTCGCAGCCAGGTTCGGATCTCGTTGCAAGGTCGCGGATTTGGCCGCCAAGGTGAAAATAGTTGGCAAAGCACTAAGAGATCCGCCCCCATGGAATGATCCCCTCAAGGCGATTATTTTCCACCACGATCATTTATATTGTATTATTTACAATGAAAAACTCATATCGGTAAAAGTGTAATATGTGGAGACGCGGGGTATCGATCCCCGTACCTATCGCATGCAAAGCGATCGCTCTACCATGTGAGCTACACCCCCGTGTGATATGGGAGGACAGTGTATTACATATCAAATATTCACTCCTTCATCGTCATGTTTCACGATTCTGAAAGCGATGGGATCGCGGACCCGCTGAGGATCATGACACGCATACACGCACGCCATGCTCCATCTAGTCGCCTGCCAATTTCGCTCGCGGCATTCCTCGTGGCGACGATGCTTTGCGACTGGCCGTGCGATTTGTCCAGAAAGACTGCATCGACGGTCGTGAGCGCTCTGGAAGGGGCGGCGGGAATGGAGCACGCCATGTCGTTGTATCGGGTGAGACAACAGCGGGAGAGCGCGCAGGCAGCCGCCACTGTTTTCCCATCCAGCAGCGCCCCTCGGTACCGCTGTGAACCGCACTGGCTTGCTCCGTCCGCCACAGCCTTCCACGAACCGGAAGCGCCCTGCCCACCGTGTCGACCCTTCATGGCCCACCCACCGTCGCCCTATCGCCCTCTGCCGCCGCCCCTCAAACCCGCTCCTCCGCTTTCTTATTCTCGCCGCCGTATACTCTCGACCCTTTCCCCCGCTCCCTCCTTGCTCACTCTTCCTCCCCATTCCCCTTCCCCTCTCCCTTCCCATTCGCTCCCCCCGCCCCGGCCCCCATCCCCCCCATTCACCCCCTCCCCCCCTCGAACCACACACACTCCTGCAGGCCTGGGCGGACGCCTACGGGCTCTCCCCCGACTCGCTGCTTCCGCCCTCCCCCCTCTCCCTTCCGCCCTCCCTCCCCCCCGCCCCTCATCTCGAGGACTGCGCCGCGCTCACAGCGCTGCGCCAGCAGGCGGAGCAGCGGGGGGAAAGGGGGGAGCCGCCAGCATGGGCGGAACCCCCGCGGAGCAGCCAAAACGGGTGCTGTCACCCGCGGGACACATGGGATACGGAACTTTCACCTTCAGACCCCCCTTGGTCCTCCTCCTCCTGCAACTGCCCACCACAGCCACCGTGGGTGAGCAAGTGAGTGAGGGAGTGAGGAAGGGGGGTATTTAAAGTGGGTTGAGGGTGTGGGTGAGAGGTGAAGTGAGGGAGTGATGGTGACGGAAGGCAGTACGGTAACACACCCACCAGCCTCACTCATCCCACCAGCCTCACTCATCCCACCAGCCTCACTCATCCCACCAGCCTCACTCATCCCATGTCCAGTCCACTGCTCGCTCTCCGCCCCTCCTTCCTTCCGCCACCACTGAGCCTCTCACCATGCCACCACTGAGCCTCTCACCATGCCACCACTAAGCCGTTCCCGCATTGTACGGCAAGAGGGTGTCCGTAATTTCACTGCCCTCTGTGCTCCTCTCCTTTACCACTTTCCATCTCTTGCATCTCTCCGCCTTCCCCTCCCCTCCCTCAGTCCACCCGTCCCCCCGTCCCCCGCCCTTCCCCATGCGCCCTTCCCCATGCGCCCTTCCCCATGCGCCCTTCCCCATGCGCCCTTCCCCATGCGCCCTTCCCCATGCGCCCTTCCCCATGCGCCCTTCCCCATGCGCCCTTCCCCATGCGCCCTTCCCCATGCGCCCTTCCCCATGCGCCCTTCCCCATGCGCCCTTCCCCATGCGCCCTTCCCCATGCGCCCTTCCCCATGCGCCCTTCCCCATGCGCCCTTCCCCATGCGCCCTTCCCCATGCGCCCTTCCCCATGCGCCCTTCCCCATGCGCCCTTCCCCATGCGCCCTTCCCCATGCGCCCTTCCCCATGTGCCCTTCCCCATGCGCCCTTCCCCATGTGCCCTTCCCCATGCGCCCTTCCCCATGTGCCCTTCCCCATGTGCCCTTCCCCATGCGCCCTTCCCCATGTGCCCTTCCCCATGCGCCCTTCCCCATGTGCCCTTCCCCATGCGCCCTTCCCCATGTGCCCTTCCCCATGCGCCCTTCCCCATGTGCCCTTCCCCATGCGCCCTTCCCCATGTGCCCTTCCCCATGCGCCTTTCCCCGTGCGCCCTTCCCATGCGCCCTTCCTCATGCGCCCTTCCTCATGCGCCCTTCCCCATGCGCCTTTCCCCGTGCGCCCTTCCCATGCGCCCTTCCTCATGCGCCCTTCCCCATGCGCCCTTCCCCATGCGCCCATCCCCATGCGCCCTTCCCCATGCGCCCATCCGCCTCCCACATCCCCCAAGGTGCGGGGGGCGGACAGCAACAGCCTGGCCATGACGCGCCAATCACAGCGCGACATCTGGCTGCACCAGATGCTGCCGCCCCGCGCCTGCCAGGGCCGGCGCCTGCTGCTCGTGCCATGGAGCACGGGCATGTACCATGGCGTGGGGTCGCAGGTGGGTGCGTGCACCGTCACTGGTGTCAGCAGCAATGAGCACTGTGGCTGCATGCAGCGTGTGCCGTGTGGGACACGGCCGTGCACAACAGGGTGGGTCGCAGGTCAGCCCATCTGCCGTCCTGCCTCGCCCCCTCCTTCCTCGCCCTGTGTTGCATGTCCACACTCTCTCGTCTCCTTACTCTACCTGACTCAAGTCTCGCCCTCCCTCTCCCTCTCTCCCCCTCGTCTTCCCCCTCCCACACCCCACCCCCCTGGTGGCAGGTGCATCTGATAGGCGCGTTTCTGGGCCTGGCCATGCTGCACAACCATCAGCTAGTCTCTTGCGCACGGCCCATCTCTCCTCCCTTCCCTCCGCTCCCCCCCTGGTGGCAGGTGCATCTGATGGGCGCGTTTCTGGGCCTGGCCATGCTGCACAACCACACACTCATCCCGCTCGCCAACTCCTTTGACCGCGCCAACCACCCCCACTGCCAAGGTCACTTCACCTGCACCCCCACTGCCAAGGTCGCCCTCCCTCACTTGCACCGTGTGCCGCTGCTCTCAACGCACCCCTGCTTCTTAAACATCTCAACTCCTCCTTTTCTATTCAAACATAGCCTTTATTCAACTTTGCTTTCTGTAACCTTTGTTCTCACAGCTGCCGGTTGCGATCACAGGGTGGAGTGACGGTGGAGTGAGGGTGGAGTGAGGGTGGAGTGAGGGTGGAGTGACGGTGGAGTGACGGTGGAGTGACGGTGGAGTGAGGGTGGAATGAGGGTGGAGTGACGGTGGAGTGAGGGTGGAGTGAGGGTGGAGTGAGGGTGGAGTGAGGGTGGAGTGAGGGTGGAGTGAGGGTGGAGTGAGGGTGGAGTGAGGGTGGAGTGAGGGTGGAGTGAGGGTGGAGTGAGGGTGGAGTGAGGGTGGAGTGAGGGTGGAGTGAGGGTGGAGTGAGGGTGGAGTGAGGGTGGAGTGAGGGTGGAGTGAGGGTGGAGTGCGGATACATGTGAAATGAGGATTGTCAAAAACACCAGGCAAGGGGCAGTGGCACATGGCAACACCTGTGTGCAGCATCCATGTTATTCACAACGCCCCTTGGGTGGATCAAGAAGGTCTCTCATTCCCATTACCTCTGCTTGCTTCAACGGTAGACTGCATCCCCCCTCACGCCCTGCTCCCCACGCACTCTCCCCCTTCACCCATCTCTCCTTTCTCCCTCTGCCTTCCCTCCTTTCGCGCCTCCCTTGCTCTTTCTGCCCTCCGTCGCCATACAGCCACGGGGCAGCAGGGCGCGTGGGAGTGTTTCTTCTTCCCCATCGTCTCGCCCGACTGCGAGGACGAGCTCAACCGCCTGAGGGCGCAGGACGCCATTGGGGAGTGTGTCACGGGGGAGGAGCTGGGGTACGATAGGGCCGCGCAGTCGGACCAACAAGTACGTGAGTGGGGCCGGTGGGGGTGGCAAGGTAGGTTGGCAGAGAGGAGGAGCGGAGATGCCTTTCGGGAGTGTGTCACGGGGGAGGGGCAGGGGTACGATAGAGCCGCACAGTCAAAGCAACAGGTGCGTGTGGGCAAGTGGCTAAAAACGGTGTTGCCATGTGCAGTAGGCTGCTCGGCGCTGGTGTGTGCCCCGAGGGAGGAGCTGCGGCATGGGGGGCAGCACAGCGCAGCGCAGCACAGCAGCAGGTGAGATGGCTGCTGTCCCGTCCCAAAAGGGTCTTCATGAGTGCTTGGATGCGACACTTGTGCCCTCTAGCTCTGTGTGTCACCGGGACATAATTGCCCCTCTCCCCCTTTCCGCCTTTTCCCCACCTCCTCCCCCCTTCCGCCTCCCCCTTTCCCCATCCGCCTTCCACCCACCACCTCTCCCTTGCCGCCTACCGCCCTCCGCCTCCCCCTTGCCGCCCCCCGCCGTCTGAATCCCTGGTCTGCTGGCCATGGCACATGCCATGCAGCATCAGGCGGCGGTGTGACTGTGACTGTGACTGTGACTGTGACTGTGACTGTGACAGTGACTGCACCCACCACTTCCGTCATCCTTATCAACGACGGCCCTACACTACACAACCCGTCACACGTCTTGTGGAACCTGAAACCACCTGGAGATTCACCTGCCATGTGTGAGTGTGCCCCCGTCAGGTGGTGGGCCTGAACCCCGCCACGGACGTCGTCATGCCATGCAACAGGGACGTGCTCATCTGCCCCCACCTTCTGCCTCGCCCCCTCTGCCTCCCCTCCTCCACCTCCCCCTGTGCCCCTCCCACCAGGCGGTGTGTCTGGACCCCACCACAGGCGTCGTCATGAGCTACGAGGGCTGTGCAGCACATCACCCTTGCGCACAATCCCTGAGGCGCCTTGTGGCCACCTGAAGATTCACCTGGCATGTGTGTACTCCCCCACCAGGCGGTGTGTCTGGACCCCACAACGGACGTGTTCATGAGCTACGAGGGCCGGGCAGCATCGCTGTGGGGCGATGCATACCTGGCGGACGCGGACATGGTGGAGCATGGCGGCCACGTGGCCTCCACCAGCGCCGACACCAAGATGGTGAGGCGGGACACGTGGGGCAGGTGGGCGCAGGTGGGCGCAGGTGGGCACAGGCGGTCATGAAACAGAAACAGGTGGCCTGCAGAAGGGAAGCAGTAGTCACAAGCACAGCTTTGTCCCCCAAGTGCCTTGCCCTTGGTACTCAAGCCGTAGTGAGGTGTGACACATGTAGCACCCATGGTCTCTGTTTCGTTCTTTTGTTTCCGCCCCTCCCCACCCCCACCCTCTCCCCGCCAACAGTAAAGCTGCACTGGTGGTGGGTGCACGCAGCATGCCTCACTGCCTTGCATATTCGTCTGCCCCTACCTTTCCCCTTCCTGCCAGGTGCACTGGTGGGAGGCGCAGGGTGCCCCTTTGCGTTTGCCTGCTACTTATTCTGCTCCCCTTTTCCCCCCCCGCCAGGTGCACTGGTGGCGGGCGCAGGCGGTGCGCTTCATGCTGAGGTGGCCATCAGCCCATCTCTGCCACGTCATCAACCAACAGAGAGACACCGCCTACGGCATGCACGTCGCCAATCGCATTGCATCCCTCCACTCCTCCTCTCACTCCACCAACCCCCCATCCTCACCCCCCTCCCCTCATCTCTCCTCACTCCATGCCTTCTCACTGGCTCTCCAACACTATGAGTCATGCGGTACTGATGCTTCACCTGCTGCCGCTTCCGCTGCTGCTGCTGCCATTGCATCTGCCGCTTCAGCTTCTCCTCACACTCCTGTGGATCCCCCACCTACCACCAGCACTGTGTGGCACCGCATGTCACCGCCCAGCACTCCCATAGACCTAGCCAGAGAGCCGTACATGCAGCGACCGATAGTGAGCATGCACGTGAGGCAGAGCGACAAGCTGTCGGAGATGCGGGTGCTGTCGCTGCCCGCCCACATGTTCCTCGCCTACCGCCTTCGCCGCGCACTCGTGGACCTCCGACACGTGTGGCTCAACACTGAAGCACAGGTGGGGTGTGTGTGGCTCAACACTGAGGCTCAGGTGGGGTGTGTGTGGCTCAATACTGAGGCTCAGGTGGGGTGTGTGTGGCTCAATACTGAGGCTCAGGTGGGATGTGTGTGGCTCAATACTGAGGCTCAGGTGGGAGATGTGTTGCTTGCCGCTGTCGCTGCCCGCCCACATGTTCCTCGCATACTGCCTGCGCCGTGCTCTGGTGGACCTCCGACACGTGTGGCTCAACACGGAGGCACGGGTGGGTGGGACATACACTCTGGTACGCATGTGCTGTGTGTTGTGGATCTTCCTGTGAGACACAACACACCGCAGTGCATGTGGGGCGTGTGTGGGTGAACACCGAGGCTCGGGTAGCGCCAAGCCAATATGGACCCCTGTTCTTGGTGGTGAGGTGAACGCACGGGGCAAGGCACCCCCCTGCGGTGTCAACTTAATGTGGCGTTTTTCCACCTCGTGTCCATTACAGGGCATCAGGTAAGACCAGGAGTATGCAGCGTGCTCCTTACCCATGCTACAGAACCCTTGGGTACGTCCTTTTGTCATCACATATAAGACACGTGTGCCCCATGCCTTGTCAACATGCCACACTGTACACCCATCCCTTGCACACTCAACATTCCCATAGTCCCACATATCAGTGCAGCCCCCTCCCCTCCACCCCGGTCCCCCGCATGGCACAGTCGGTGATCAACGAGACAGCCCACTACCCCGACTGGCACTTCCTCTTCGCCACCAACGCCCGCCAGCCGTCCCACTCGGAGCGCAACCGCGAGTACGACGCCGCACAGTCCGTGGCTGCCAGCCTGGCGAGTGCGTTGATCGCAGCGCAGTGCGATGTGTTCCTCGGGTCGCTGGGGTCCAACTGGAGCCGCCTCATCAACGAGCTCCGAGCCACTGGTGGGCGGCTGTACAGTGGATTTGTGGTCATGAACCTGGGCGAGTGGTGACTGGGTGCTGCAGTGTTGTTAATTAGATAAAGGAGATATACATTAAGGGAGGCAACAAGATGGTACATCCCATAATTTATCCAGAAGCTAACCAATCTACGGTAGAAGCTTCCATATCTCGTCAGGCCAGGTATGTGGTTCAACTCTAACAATATCGACTGTACAGTGCATAGGAAGGTCAACCAGACATCCTGCTTGCATGGATGACAGGTGGATGGTCAGTCCCCTCAAGCTTGCTGCTGTGCCTCACCACGGGCAGCCCACTCTCCTCCCATGCGATGATCCCGCCCTTGAGATCCACGAGCCTTGTGAATCCCTGCACAGCTCATAGCAGCGCACCCAAACCCAAATGGTCAGTGATGTCATGAAGCAAGGATTACATGCACTAGGGGGCATGCTTCGGCTTACTAGATCACTTTCTTTGGTGGCTCACCTGGGCGGTCATCTCCCATGCTGCCAGGTTGGACCTCCTGCCGCTGCGACAGGCCTGAATGTGAGGGGTGGCGAAACACAGGGAGCACAGATGGTGAGCTTGAGCGCGGTAGATGTACCACGTGTCGTTGAGAGAACGATGCAGCACGTGACAGTGAGGTGGGAGACGAGAGATGAGATGCTTTGCGGAATGCGAAGGATGGCGGGGAAGGAAGCGTACCACGATGAGGGGCGTGTCGAGGGCGTATTTAGACTTCACTTGCTGGAGGTAATCCGGATTAGGCTGCTGCGAACCTGCAGAGGCGAGAAGTAGTCTGAGTTGGGTGCAGATGGTCACCATCTGATGGAGCTGCATCTCACGATACGCATTAGACCGTGAATAACGACGTGGAATCATCTTAAAGCGGCGCATTTGAGTGTGGAAAGGCGAAACGTCTGTTGGATTAAAAAAAAAAAAAAAAAAAAAAAGAGGAAAATGTCGCCGGGAAGATGGTGGGGACGGGACGTACCGTTGGGTGCGGTGACGAAGTAGGGGATGAGGTCGGAGCCCGGCACGTGCACCTGCGCGAACTCCTCTACCGTTCTGTGCCACGCAATGCAAGCACCGCGGCCACGCGGCGCCGGATAGCATGGAGCAAAGGGTCAGAACGGAACTTCCATCTGCTGTGGAGACAAAAGTTGCGACGCATGAAACTAAAGAGAGCTTTTAGCCCGTCGTGTGCACTCTGCGTAACGGAACGGCTTGCAACGCGTTCGGAATTCTCAGGCGTCTCTTCACCTGACGTCAAGGTAGACGTAGCCTTGCTGCTCCACGAGCCGATGGACCTCCAGCGGCGGCAGCACGGGGAAGGGCGGCTGCGCCATTATTGCGGCTGTCTGTAAATCGCGGTACTGAGAGACGGTCGAGAGCGCGACAACCAGCAGCGCCGACACCGCGAACACGCGACCAAGCGTAGCTGGTAGCACCCTGAGAGACGCTGATAGCAGATTGACTGGCGCTGGTGACAGTGCGTCTCTGGAGCATGCGAGGTCAGCCTGAGGGACGGTGCAGATGAATGAGAGGTTTGAGCTGTCCGTGGTGCTCGAGCAATCTACATGCGTCGTCGGCGCTGAAAATTTCATCTCTCCGTTTCAAAAGGAGAGCGCGGGACATTCATTCAGAACGGCGAGGGCGGCTCCAGAATGGTTTAGCCGACGGACGCAGGAGGTGAAAAGTAAACCCTGAATTGCTGCCGCCACCATGGCGTGGCGAGTACTGAGCTCGTGAAGGATTTGCTGCTGGAAATGCGGAGGTATTTCAGCGTCAACTCATCAGGGCAGCGTTCAGTTCAGCTGCTCTGAGCGCCAACCTGGCAGCGGCAAAAAAATACACGTTGACAAAGAAGGGGCTAATTTGTGGTTGCCGACCAACCGGCGCTGCATTGCAAGGTTCAATGAAAGTGGATGGTGGAATGTGAAACACCGACAGAGGAGGCTGTGACGTTGGCCAAGTGCAATGTGATTTGTGATATACATTGCAACTCCAGCGCCGAGCTGGCCAATGCGAGACGAGGCAACGGAACGGTGCGCATCGAGACGAGGCGCGTCCTTCGGCATTTCACTTTACAGTACAACACAGAACCATGATTAGGGCTCGCTGAACAGGCTCGTCTAAATACACTGCAAAGCTAGAAGTACGAAGATACGTCCACTCTTCTACAATAACCACATGAGGGAATGCAGTCTCCTATGTATGAGTTAGAGAGCCTTTCCAGGCCAACATTCCTCCCTCCATATCCGCAAGTGATGTGTAGCCCTGCAAAAAAAAAAAGTGGCATCAGATAAGCCACATGTACACTCCAATTCCCAAAATACCCGTTTACCCATTCTCACCAGATCTCTTAGGACGTTTGCAGCTATATTTGACCGCTTTCCACTCCGACAGGCCTGGATGATAGAGCGCAAGACAGTTAAAAGAGCTGTTAACTCGTAACAATTGTTGTTGCAAATCTGCGTTGGATACAGACCCCCCTGGATGTATCACCAGAATACAATGGATATCCTACCCGAACAAGCGGCGTGTCGGGCGAGTACTTCGTCTTCACTTGATCCAGGAACTCGGCATTTCTAACCATAGATCCTGAAAGTCCACGCATGCACGAACACATTAGGATAATAACTGAGTGGAGCCCCGAAGATCTGCCCCAGTGTCCTCATCCTGATAATGCACGAACTATCTCTTCGTCTACAAGAACCTGGATATGTGTGTGGTTGTACTTGAAGCATCGTTTCAGCCATACTTCAACATGTTCAATTTCATATGCGATACAGCACGGAGTGAAGCCATGCGCCATAGAATGCCTAATGCACAAGATTGCTTGGTGAGAGTGGACAAAGAACGGGCTTACCGTCAGAAGCGGTGAGCATGAAAGGAATGTTGGAGGATCCTGCGACGTGCCCAGATGCATATTCCTGAGGTGTTCTGCACGGCAGCACAACATGTTAACGTCGAGGAAACCCTCGAGGAGGCTCGTAAGTCCGTCTCTTCACCTCAACACCTCGACACTCGCGGACCGCACAATAAACTTCCTAAAATACACTACGTGGACGAGTTTCGCGAAACGATAATATGCGCTGGTGCCAACGTTGAATAATTGCCAATCCATTACTGATCCAGACTGGCTGAAAGTTGCCACGAACCAAAGTGCAATCCAACGCTTCGGCAAACCCCAAAACATGCAGGTAGGTTCTGATGCTCGCTGGCTTGAACGATTCTAGACCGACACGTGCAGTGTGCAAGCTGGATACTCCCTCTCGCAGCGGAAGCGGAGAATATGTGTCAGCCTTAGAAACGAGGCACGCTAACGCCGATGCCTCCTCACCTAACATCGAGAAAGACGTAACCAGAGTCGACCAGCTGTTTCGCTTCGGAAGGTGGGACGACGCGAACAGCAGCAGCCATTTGAAGTGCGAACGGATAAACCTAAGGAGCCAAAGGGTGCGGATATAAAGAAATCGGAAAATCAACAGGATGCTCTAGGGTGAAAGAATGCGAGAGTAATAATACATATTCTCAAGCTCTGATTTTAGTTGGATTGGAACCTATGGAAGCATGGGGAGCGTGAAGGGGGAGAACAACAGTAGCGCAGACGTGCAGAGGAGCGTGTCTCTCTGCCCGGGTGGGACTTCGTTCACTCTCGATTTAGTAAACGCGATGGAAAAAGACACTGTGCATTCAAGAGCGATTAGCTTGAATTACCGCTTTGAACCGCTACCCACCATTCTGAACAATGATACATGTACTGAAAACGAACAAGTCCCCCATATTCTGCCTCTAACGAACACAGCGAACCTTGTTGCGACAACCAAAGCAGCTGTATGGGTAAATTTTGGAAAATCTGTGGGGCCGGTTTTTGCTACGTATCAAGGATATAATTATTACCGCGTTACAGTTTTGCATGTTTCGTGTATAAGTATTCACTCATGCCTTGACTCATACTTTGTACTCGTTTGATACATAGTGCAATCCTCGCTATCTCGTTCCATTGCACCCATAACATCAAGTATTTAGCGCCACTTTCTTTCGGACCGTGCATATCCGCACCCAGAGAAATCAACTTTTGATTTTTGCTCTCGAAGGGACTCACGCTCCTTAGCACCTAGGAGCCGCTGTCCTCGCGTTCTCTCGTAAACGCGTGCAGCCACGACTGCGCCCTAGAGCACGTCCTTCGAAATCGCCGAGCACGTCGACGCCACGACACTCATGCAAGAATGCCTAAACGAACTGCTGCAGCAGCTGCACGAAAGTTTTGAAGAGATTGCGGCGCTGACGGCAGATTGTACGTCACTGCAAAATGACGTCGCACGGGCACAACAAGCGTAATCGCAAACACAAGGCACGTAGGGACAACCAGCATGTCAGGCATCACAACACGGAAGTGTGGGGCAACCCTCGTGCACAACTAGTGATGGCGTCGCCCGCAACGACAGAGACGACGACCACGGCACGATACAACCCGAAGTGACGAATGCGGCCAGGAGCCAACATCGCGTCACGATTTCGGTGCCAACAGGCGAGACAGCACTGCCGTCGCCGATGCCGCTCAAGCCGCAGCGTCCGCCATGCTTCGATCCGAGCCAACGGGGTGGTCCGGCCGTTTAGGCGTAGTTGTACACGATGAACGTATTTTTCGACGCCAACTACGTGTCGGAGGACTCGGCGAAAATCCGTTACGCCGTGTCGCTGCTGCAAGGACCCGCCATGAACCGGTGACTCGTCATCGTCACGAAGCTGGTAAATTACGAGACTTTACCGACACGGGAAGGACACACCGGACCCTGGGCACTGTCGTATTTCGTGGAGGTACCCCAACATCACACGTGGGACGCGTGGTGCGCAGGTCTGCGTGCGAGATTCGAGCCAATCGCGGCTTCGATCGCAGCGCAACAGAAGCTCCACACTTGGCGTCAGCTCGACTCCGTCCAAGACTACACCCCGGGGTTTCTGGCGTTGTGCGAGCAGGTGGGATATATGCACGAGGGAGAGCGCATCGACCACTATGTCGGCAACATGAAACACGAGATCGCTA